AGTACTTCCATTGACCGGAGTGATCCCATGTTAATTGTGTCCAAAAACCGGAACTTCTCCCTTAGCCCTAAGGGAGACACCAGCCACCCTGCGGAGAAAACCCATCTCGGCCGCTTGTACCCGCGATCTCGTTCTTTCGGTCATGACCCATCCTCCATGACCATAGGTGAGGGTAGGAACGAAAATGGCGCGGTAGACAGAGAGCTTTGCCTCCGGCCTATCTCACGCTCCATTGTTCCCTCACTCGAGAACAAGACCCCGAGATACTGGAAGTCCTTCACTTGGGGTAAGCTCCGATTCTCCGACCCATCTCACGCTCCATTGTTCCCTCACTCGAGAACAAGACCCCGAGATACTTGAACTCCTTCACTTGGGGTAAGGACTCATTCCCTACTTGGAGTGGACAGTCCATCGGTTTCCTGCTGAGAACCATGGCCTCAGATTTGGAGGTGCTGATCCTCATCCCAGCCGCTTCACACTCGGTTTCGAACCGATCCAGTGAGTGCTGAAGGTCGCAGACCGATGAAGCCATCAGAACCACATCATCTGCAAAAAGCAGTGGTGCAATCCTTAGTCCACCGAACTGCAGACCCCCTCCCCCACGACTACGCCTCGAAATCCGATCCATGTATATTACAAACAGGATATTATTATTATTATTTATAAAAGGTGATTATTTATTTTAAGTGTTTTTTCAAGAAAAAACATGAAAGGTTTCACAGGGCCAGCTTCCCACCCATTGACAATTGGCACACATGGTTAACAAATTCATAATGTATCAGAACATGTGACACAAGACAGCATTGACACAATTAAAGCTAATAGTAGAAAGCACTTTCTGCTTCTTTTTACAAAAAAAAGCACCTTTTTTGACAATGTGTTGTTCCCTCCTCCAGGTCTCTGCCTGCTGGACTTGACGGAGCAGTTTTCTCTCCCAGAGACGAGTCCACCCATGATGGCCAGACTCATCGAAACTATTGAGATGAAAGGTAAGCTTCACCACGGAAACAGTACTTTAAAAGTACCTCTGCCTGTCTTTGTTAACCGCATTTTAATGTGCATTTATGACCAGATAGTTTTCTCATTTTATAAATGTAATGAGTTTTGTTTCTGTGATTATCTGCAGGTGTGGATAACCCCACTTTATATCGAACATTTACTGCTGGTGGTGGACTTGAAGTCAAACCGTATTTTGAATGTGGTAAGCAGCTTTTTTTTTTATCAGCCGGTTTGGGGCAGAGACAGACACTCAGGCAGCCAAGGACAAGTCAGTCGTTTTTCAATAGTTGAATGAGGAAGAAGAAATGTGGCAAGTGTTGATGACGAACAGAGATAACGGTGTGAGGTGACCTACAAAGTGCGCTACACGACACCTATTGAAAAAGAACAGAAACTACTTCTTTTTTTTTTTTCATGCATCCATGGTTACATCTACGTATGATTTAGTTTGCGGTTTACACAAACGCCTGTAATGACGTATTTCACTTTGCACAAAGACTTTCTAGTTTTTAAACGTGTGTTGTTTTGTGCTGCAGACCCCCCCTCTGCAGACCTGGATCAGGTGGAGCTTCCCATCCTGTGTGACGGTCTGCGCAGGTACCTGCAGGACCTCCCTCAGCCCATCATCCCCACTGCAATATACGCTCAGATGGTCCTCACTGCCAAAGGTGAGAGCAGAGGACCCCCGCACAAATGCAATTATCATTTCCATTCTGCACAGAAAAACAGAAACACTGATGAAATGAATGCACTCTGCTGAACATTCAGTTCTTTGAAAACAAAACCACAAAGCATTGTCAGTGCCCTTTAGACTTTCATTTTTTAACCAAATGTGCTTTTTTTCCCTCACAGTAATTAGTGCATTACAAGTGTATTTTGCAACTTTCCCCATAAATTAGTTTCCATTTGTCTTTCTTTGTTGCAAGAGCAGACACACTTCTCACACCACACTGTTCTGTAGCGCTGCATTCTCTTTCTGTCACATGGCCAGAAACAGGATATCTGAGGTTAATAGGAACTAAAACAAGCCTGAGAGTTTATCTCTAGCATCTGTCAGCAGCCAATCACCTGCCAGTGTACCTTACGCTCATTGTCAACCACAATCTCACTGTGGTCTCATAACCTAACTGCACATGACACGCTTTTTCCACCACTTCATTGTTTAAAGAAACACCTCTCATTTTACGCTCCACTTCGACTCAGGCAGGATCTTTCTTTTTCACATCTGTCTAACTGACCTCACGGCCGTCCTCATCTATTTCTACAGAGGTGGTGAATCCTGAGGAATGTGCTCAGCTGCTACGTCGCATCGCCAGCGCCCCGACCCTGCCTCCGCAGCATTGGCTAACCTTCCACTGTCTGCTCAGGCATTTCTCCAGAGTGTGCCAAAACGGATCCAAGAACCTGCTCAGTGCCAGAGCCCTGGGCGAGATCTTCAGCCCTGTGCTCTTCAGACAGCAGACCACCAGGTGGGTGTCAGCCGGATGGGGGCAGAGACAGACACTCAGGCAGCAACAGACAAGTGTGCAGGCTCAGTCATGCAACACTGAGACACACACTCTGAAACATGCACACTTCCAGACACTCGCACATCAACACACTGTCAGCAACAGTCTGTCAGGCACTCATGGGTTTAGCTGCGCACAGATATAGGTTGGAGCTTTTCTACTTACCAGCTGTGCTGCATAATTAAAGTAGCTAAGCCTGAATTGCCATCAGATTGAGACACACAGTAATCAGAGCAGCAGAGAGTCACCTGGGCTGTGAAACAGGAACTTTATCTAACTTGCCTTTAATTGTTTTTACACCCTCTGCAGTTGTGAACCCAGCTTGGAGGCCCACATCAAGATCATTGAGGTTCTGGTGACCAGTGAATTGAGTGAAAGTCAGGCGGCTCCAGGTAGTTACCACCGTCATGCACAACGTTTCAAATGCTGTTGCTTTTCTTTTGTTCCTGCTCGAATAATATTGATATATCTAAAAAAAGAAATGCAAGACTGTTTAGCATTGCACTGCTGCTGTTTGATTTGCATATTCTGAACATAAACTGAACACCCTCAGACCTGATCTATTAATAGCTTAAAGAAATAGTGTTGAGGCCCAGGGGGGTACACTGGAGGTAAAAATACTGACATTGTTGTGCAAGTTAAGACTACTTTATCGTGTTTTAACTGAAACACATTCCCTGATGATCATTGTTGCAAAACTGTTGAACTGTTTGAATAAGGTCTACACTGGTTCTAAAGCTTTAGCTGCAAACAAAGGCTCCTTGTGCTTGCACTTGTGGTTTTGTGGTATTGAAAGTTCATGACATGGTACAATGATTCCATGGGAAGTTGTCTAATACAGAGTACAACATGTCCTTCTAGTGTTGATTTTGGTTTCGTTTTTTTTCGTGTGATGAATGTGACTGCTGGTTGGTATTGAACACATGGCCCAGGACGTGTGTAAACTGATGAAATCTTGTTCTGGTGTTCTTCACAGGGGAGGTTCTTTTTTTTCAGGGGTGATGTTATTTTGTAATATGTCAAACGCAGAGCTGCGCAGTCACTTTGCATGGCTGGTGCAGTGGTGGTCTGCACAGATGAAGCTGGCCTGGGTGTGAGTGAGTGAAGTGCTCTGCGTGGCACAGTTATGTTTTTACAGTGCTAGTTAAAAGCACCATCGTTGCTGGTCCGGAGGCCCAGGGCCGGCTGTGGCTGTTTAAACATTTTATTACCTGTTAGGTCTATTTATAATGTTCCTGTGCATGGGCCACTCTCAGCTGTCAGTCATTTGCACCTGCGGGAGCATTTGGCACCGAGATGGATGGATTGAAGGGCGGGCAGGACTCAAACCCTAAAACACTTTTTGTTTGTTCTTGTCACACCCACACACACACACACACACACACACACACACACACACACACACACACACACACGTACACACACACGTATACACACACACACGCATACACACACACACACACGTATACACACACGTATACACACATATAAAAACAGGACGCAGTCAGATATCAAAGTTCAGGTGTGCCAAACTGGTTTCAGTCGTGTGTGTGTGTGTGTGTGTGTGTGTGTGTGTGTGTGTGTGTGTGTGTGTGTGTGTGTGTGTGTGTGTGTGTGTGTGTGTGTGTGTGTGTGTGTGTGTGTGTGTGTGTGTGTGTGTGTGTGTGTGTGTGTGTGTGTGTGTGTGTGTGTGTGTGTGTGTGTCCCAGTTACTGCGTGCCTATTTTAAGTAAGCGACAAAAGGCCCACTTAGATTTGGTTGGCTGGAAAATGGGCCTGCTCCACAGAGCACTTCTTGTTAACCGAGGGCTCTCTCCCTCTCTCTCTCCCTTACCTCCTCGCCCTTTCTCCCTCCGTCCGCCTGGATCCTCCACATGTCCTCCCTGCCTCAAAGTGCCCAGCTCAGCAAATATTTGAAACTTTGCAGGTTAATCATAAGACTGAACTCCCCCTGCCTCCTCCTTTACAAACAGAGGGAGAGAGAGCGGGGGAGTGACCAGAGACACGCACACACACGCAGCTGGCAGAGTGGCTGCTCTCAGAACAGCTCTGACACCGGCTACCCCTAATCATTAACTCTCTGCCTCGGAGCGAGCAGACAGACAGACAGACAGACAGACCTGTACCTTACTCTCGCTGCAAGAACTCAGTCAGTTAGACAGTCTCGTGTTGCACCTGCCTCACGGAGAGCGGATTACCCGGATTTAATTAAGAAGCACATAAAACCTTTTTTTAAAGAATTTTTTTTAAGTAACCTAAACTATGAAATGGAGCTTTGCTAGTGGACTTGAAAGTCACTCTGTTGGATGTAATTTACCTTTTGGGAATAACAGCGAAGTCTCAAAGAAGAGATTGATGATTCAACAAAATATGCACAACTCGCAACGTAAGTCTGATGTTCTGTGTCTTTCTATTTGAACCTTTCCTCATTGTCATACAAGAGTAGAGCGGTGTGTTTCAATACTTCTGCCTTCAGGCTATAATGTAAAGGGCCCGGAAGATTAAGAAACAAATACTGTAGCTGAAGAAAAGAAAAGAAAAGAACAAGAATAATATCTTTTGTATTTATTTGAGCCTCCAGTCATAGTTGTCAGAGAGTAGTTTTGCCTTTGGCAGCTGCTGGTGCTTCACAGTTTGTAGCTATTCTCACAAAGTGCACACAAAGTAGTTCTCTCTGAGGGAAGTTGGTGAATTCAGTCACAATGTTAAATATTCAACCATTATCAACAATGTATGTGTTGCCACAGTAGGGAATTTTTATGTTCAGTCAAATAACTATTTCAAACCCTACAGAATATTTGACTTGATTTTCCTTAGACTTCTTAAAGAAAGAGGCATTTAGGTCACAGTCTCTCTCTGGCATTACAACATGTTTTCAAATCCACTTGTATCTAGTTATTGTGCTCAGTTGAGCTAATTCTTAAGTTATTCATGAAGAGTCCTAACAACGGTTCCTCAGTTGAACCTGGCAGGACTGCATTCCTCTTGAATCCTTGTACCTTACCAAGAACTGAGCCTATTTTGATTTCACTTAGGAAATCAGTGGAGTTATCTCTGTCATGCTGAGTGTCACGCTGTGGGATTACAGGCGTATTTTGGAGCTCTGGGTGCCGCTGACCGGGCCAGGCATTATCATTTAGCTGCGTACGTGCTGCTGCAGCAGAGCTGGCTTTGTCTGAGTGCCAGCAGTGGGTCGGACTAAAGCTCCGCACGACTCACGCAGAGGGGAGGGGCCGAGCAGCCTGCAAGAGAGAGAGCAGCTCACAGAGAGGGAGAGAGGCACAGAGGAGCAGCATGGAAACAGGCTGCAGGTCCTTTTCTTTCTGCCAGAGAAGAAATGCTGCACAACTGCTTTTTAAAACGGATGCATACTAGGACGTCAAGCTGGACGCTGCAGAGCCAACAATGCATTTTGTTCCATTTAGCTGCAGTGTTGTTAATAATTAAAGCAGGGAGTATAAAGGCTTTCAGAATGACCTCATCACTCTCCGGAAATGAAAGATGCAGGAGTGGTTGGTGACAGACCCCCTATGTGATTGGCTGTGGTAAGTGATGTAACACGTTACTGAGCAGGCTGCTCTGAACGGTTTTTTAACTGGATGTTGAGATTGGGATGTGAAACAGTCTGATTTGCCTCTGTTTTTGCAGTCAATGCGATATGCAAGCTGTCTATCTGTAGAAATGTGTGGAGCTAATGTAAGCTACGGGTAAGACTGGTTTGTCCACACATGGGTTTAACACCAAGATTCTTTCTAGTAATCTGGAGAGGAAATGTGGATTGAAAGGCAAATGTTCTGAGAAGCGCAGCGGAAACCCTGAGCTGTGGTTGAGTTGGTAGGCTGCATTTTGCACAGATCGTTAAGCTTTGCTTGTTCTGCCATGTCACAACTGTAGCCAGTGCACAGTGCATGTGTTCTGAGGGGTCGCTGTAGAGAGGCTGTGATGCAGAGGGAGTGAACAAAGGCAGAAATAGCTCTCTACCTTAGCTCTGCTACAGCTAACCTCACTGTGAAACTATTAGCTCGAGAGACGCAACCGCAGGTTGAACATGTATTTCTTTCGGGTCCACAGCAGTGGTTAAATGTTCCATCACGTCACGAGAAAATCACCATAGATACAATGCAAATTAGACTCTTTGTGCTGCCTTAAACTGCAATGGGAAAATCACATTTAATTCTGGGTTGTAAATAATGAACTATGATACATAACTTACACAATAACACTAAAGCTGGATATTTGTCGGATACTAAACCTAGAAGGGGAATATATTGGCAGCTCAGTATTGACAACATTCTTTAAAATGCATTTTAACCTATTTATTTTCTGTTTCATTTTAAAATGAAAATATATCCGCGTAGCAGTATAAAAGATAGGCATCATTTATTTGCTAATACCAAATGCTATTTTTGCAGCTGGGACTTTATAGAAATATCCTTTTCTTGAATGAAATTCATTCTCCCTGACTCATTCATCCCCCCCCCCCTCCCCCACACTGCCTCGCTGTTACCGCCTCTCCCCTGGCAGCTTTTTTTCATCCCAGTTAAATCAATGGGGAAAAAAGAGGAGTGAACGGGTCACGGAGCTAGTGTGTGATTCCCAGCATCCTCCTTACGCTGGACAGAATTGAATGTAGTGAGTCTCAAATTTGGTATCCAGTTGTGTTTCTGACGCTTTAAAGAAGGGCAAAGCAATGCTTTGAATCGTGATCCACAGCAGCATTAACACCGCTGCTAGTTGACAGAAAATCAATAATTGAATTCAAGTGGAAACCCATCTCATGTGAATGTGCTCCAACGCAGGCTCCAATCACGTTTCACTAAATGAATATCTATTCTATTTCTCTCCTCACAGCTCTACCTCCAAAACCACCCAAGCCCACAGCTGTGACTAACAACGGTATGAACAACAACATGGCGCTGCAAGACGCCGAATGGTACTGGGGAGACATCTCAAGGGAGGAGGTCAACGAGAAGCTGAGGGACACGGCGGACGGTACGTTCCTGGTGCGAGACGCCTCTACGAAGATGCACGGAGACTACACTCTGACTCTGAGGTGAGTTTGAAACCATCCCCTCTTATCTACCGGCTTCTATTCTATCGTTGGAGGTCATTTAACACGTTTCTTCGTCTACAGGAAAGGGGGAAACAACAAGCTCATTAAGATATTCCACCGGGATGGGAAGTACGGCTTCTCGGACCCTCTGACCTTCAGCTCAGTTGTGGAGCTCATCAACCACTATCGCAACGAGTCGCTGGCTCAGTACAACCCCAAGCTGGACGTCAAGCTTCTGTATCCAATCTCCAAACTCCAGCAGGTGAGGCGGCAGCTGAGAGTGGAAACTAGCAGCGCTTCAAATGCTTGAATTCAAACCATTGAACTGTCTTGTCTCTGTTCTTAGGATCAGGTGGTGAAAGAGGACAACATTGAGGCCGTGGGGAGGAAGCTCTGCGAGTACCACCAGCAGTACCAGGAGAAGAACAAAGAGTACGACCGTCTGTATGAAGAATACACCAGAACATCACAAGTGAGTGCAACCCAGAGTCCGACTACCGTCCTAAACTGCACTGCAATATTTCCACTCCATACACTAATCCTGTGCCTTCTTTCCCAGGAAATCCAAATGAAAAGGACAGCTATCGAGGCGTTCAATGAAACCATCAAGATCTTCGAGGAGCAATGCCAAACACAAGAGCGCTACAGCAAGGAGTATATTGAGAAATTCAGGAGAGAAGGCAACGAAAAGGAGATCCAGAGGTAAGAATACGTCACACTGTGCCATGGACAAGAAGCGATTGTAGCACGTAATACAAGATGGGTTGTGTTGAAATTAAACGTCATTATTGCTTTTTAGGATTATGGGCAACTACGAGAAGCTGAAGTCCCGGATTAGTGAGATCGTAGACAGCAAGCGGAGACTGGAGGAGGACCTGAAGAAACAGGCTGCAGACTACAGAGAGATCGACAAGAGGATGAACAGCATCAAGCCCGACCTCATCCAGCTCCGCAAGACCAGAGACCAGTACCTCATGTGAGTACTCTGATCAGCTGCTCCGGACACTTTAAACTTCCCTCTGGGGAAAAATCCAATTGGATCTGCCCTGGTTTCTAATGTTCGCTCTGTTGTAGGTGGTTGACCCAGAAGGGAGTCAGACAGAAGAAACTCAACGAGTGGCTCGGAATCAAGAACGAAAACACAGAAGAGTGAGTACCTGTTTGACTTTTGACAAATGAACTGACTGTAAACATGTGTTCCCTCATAACTTACACCCGTGTACGTTTGTTTTGGTTTTTCCAGTCAATATTCTATGGTGGACGATGATGAAGACCTTCCTCATCACGACGAGCGCTCCTGGAAACTGGGCAACATCAACCGGCTGCAGGCGGAGGCGCTCCTCCAGGGCAAGAGGGACGGAACATTCCTGGTTCGAGACAGCAGCAAAGCAGGATGCTACGCCTGCAGCGTTGTGTACGTATCTATCTGTGTTTCATACAGCTGCTAGTTCACAAACTGTAGTCAGGTTCCTCCTCTACATACCCAACATTATACTCCTATGTTCATCCCAGGCTCATACGATGCTCGAGCAGCGTTTAGTTCAAGTGGGTATCGTCCATATTCATCGTCTGTTTTCTCACTAAAGGGGAAGATATTGACTTGTTCAGCAAACACTGCTGGAGCATCATACTAGCATCAGATACTTTTTGGCCTACATTTTCCCACAATAAGAATCCCCCCCTACATTCAAATCAATCTTCTTACATCTAGTATCAACATAACATTTGTTTAATGTAGGTATGAGCAGCTTATTATTGTTCTAAGACTTGATGACGTGTTTTTAAATAGCGAGTGGTCAGAAAGAGCGCTCTTGTTCCCCGCAGAGAGAACAGAGTGTGACTGTGTTTCCTCTCTTTGCAGTGTGGACGGTGAGGTGAAGCACTGCGTCATCAACAAGACCCCCTCAGGTTTTGGTTTCGCCGAGCCGTACAACCTCTACGGCTCACTGAAAGAACTCGTACTTCACTACCAGCACACGTCTTTGGTCCAGCACAATGACTCTCTGAATGTGACGCTAGCGTACCCCGTTTACACCCAGCAGAGACGGTGAGGCTGTTTCCATGGACACAAAGAGGAGGCCTCGTAGAGAGTTAAGAGATACAGGTCCTTGGACTCCATGATTTAAAGAAAGAAGAGGCTCTGTTTGCCTGACCCAGATTTGAAATCGGAGGAAGAGGCGCCGTTAAGCCTGAAACATTTCAGTGACTTTGCCCGACCACGAGCCTGAGGCGAGTCTGAATGTAGATGTATTTCTCCGTTGCTTTTTGTGGGAGCACAGAATGGAGAGGAAACTGCTGAACTCTCTGCAGCCGAGGACGTTTGAGGCCTTTTCCTAACGGTGCTTGTTCTTTTTCAAAGCTTTACCAGCCGGGAATGTCTAATCGCAACAGATGAACTCTTCAAATGGAAGTGTACTCACCGGCCACGGCTTTGTTTTTCCACTCTTCGTTTTATTTTCCTTTAACGTCATCTGTGTGTGTGTGTGTGTGTGTGTGTGTGTGTGTGTGTGTGTGTGTGTGTGTGTGTGTGTGTGTGTGTGTGTGTGTGTGTGTGTGTGTGTGTGTGTGTCAACACAAGTGTTTTTGTGTACGTGGCTGTGAGTATGTGTGATTGTCCATGTGACCAAAACTCATAGAATCAGGAAAATGTGTGGCGTCAGGGGGATGTGTAACACATTTGCTTGTGTTAACTGTTCAGTAGCAGACCATGGATCAGCTGATAAATGTAGCAAAATGGCACTTTTTAAACAAAGTTTAATTTTTTTTGAAAAAGACTCCTATGGACTTTTATGAGAAGAGCAGAGAGGAGGAGGCGTCTGCATTGTGGCGCAGAAGCAAACTTGATCTTTACTGTGGGCAGGTGAAACTATGAATGGACTCATTATTTCATGTACATATGTGAAAAGTCATGAATCAAAGTGCACCATACCAAAAAGGATCAGTTCCTGTTTAGTTATATTCTGATCTGCTATGCAATTCTTTCTCAATTATTTCTTCAGAACTGTGTTTTATTCTGTTGCAACCCACGATATAAGCTTGTTTTATTGCTTGAAAAGTATATTTTCCTGTGTAAATATCCAAGAGGATATTTTGTGTCAAAATGCCAAGGTACGGTAAAAGAAAAACTGCTTATGGCTTTTAAAAGATAATAATAGCAAAATACACTTTACTATAAATTACTTTAACAACTGGTATAAAGATGGAAAAGATGAGTATTTTATTTTTTTGCTTCAAACTAATGTTCTTCTCAGGCAGAGCCTTCTGAGTATTTGAGCTGCTTCAGTCACAAATACTATTTCTCACAGAGATACTTGTAGTTCTCTGTTGGACGGACAGAGAGCACTCAGAGAACGGGAGGATGTGTTCAACCCTTATCTAACCATCACCACGAAAACAGCAGTATAGATTTATTTTCTTATCAAATATATACGTATGTTCCCACATGAGAATATATCAAAGCAGACTGGCGTTTTCAACAGATGGATATTGTTATTAAAAGATCGATTTACATTGTCCACCTAGTATTTTTCTGTATCAGAAAATCACTGTGTTTACATGGTTGGATCGGCTCATTTCAGATAGTCTATAATTTCATATTTCAAAAAGGACAACATGTGCCAGTGGAATCCTTACCAGAAAAAAAGTCAGCTACAGCTCAACAAGATTTACTTTCCCACATCTTTATTCTAGCTTTTAAAAGTACAAGGGATCGGTACGTGTGTAAACCCAGTGACATGAAAAGAATTAAGAACATTATTACTAATCACATCAAGTCTAACTGATTATTAATTCACTTCAAAAATGGTCTGCCCTAAAATAATTTTAGATGTTATATTTGTATTCCCACTCATTCCCATTCATGCTCACTTTTAAATATATATTTGTGTAACAAAGAGAAATAAATAAATAAAAGTTAACCTAATGTAATTATGATTTATTTTCAAATTTGACTCTTAATAATCTCCATCTTTGGCATCTCTTTGTGCAAAAAGGTAAATAGATTACCAGTCTCAAAGTGTTCACTTCCTTTCAAAAGAAACGTGTACGATCAATGATACATTTCATGTCGTTGGACATTAAGACATTTCTCAGCATGGAAACGTTGTATAATTTTTTGTTTCCTGCATATTATTCTCCCCTCGTGGCAGAAAAGTTGTACGCTTGTACAAACTACTAAATTGTGTTTTAGATGTATTTGACCAGGTAACTCATCCAAGAGAAAATTGTAGCAATGATAGTAACTGCCATTTATTCTAGGTTTTATTGGTTCTGAATCATGAATGACATGACATTTGTTTTACTAGAAGATTTTCCTTACTCCCCCATCAGCTGCTGGCATGAACGTTTTGTTTCTCATTGTCACAAAACCATTTTTCCCCCCCCAATAGTTCTTGGACAACATGCACCATTATTTTCTTTGCCCCAGTTCTGGGTTGTATGATTATCTTAGGTGTCTTTTTTTTTTTTTTCTGAAGCTCATCTTTTTGTGGTTGTCCCAGACATGATGATTGGATTGAGATTTACCAGTGTTCTCCAAGTTTTGCTTCAAATCTGTATTGGGCTTTGTTAAAAAGGAAATAAAAAGCACCTCTTTTTAAGAAACAAGTATTGTTTTATGGTTTTATTGTTCAAAGAAATGCAATCATTGGATGGATGGCATTATCATGTCGTTTGAAATGTCCAAAATTATAAAATTGTTTATTTTTCTGAACGTTTTGACATTCTTAGCTATATCTACATAATCGTATGTCGACAAATATCTTAAGAACAGCATAGTTTAGTATGTAGAACACTTCATCAAAAACGACAGTACAGTATGCAGAAAATATCATAAAAAACTACATAGTATAATATGTCGATAATATCATAAAAACGACATAGTGTAGTATGTAGAACATTTCATGAAAAACTATGTAGTATGTCGAAAATATGTTTAAAATAAATTAGATATAGCATGTCGTAAATATCATAAAAAACGACAGTATAATATGTCGAAAATATGTACAATAATTACATAGTACAGTATAGTATGTCAAAAAATATAATAAAAACGACATACTGTAGTATGGCATGTAGAGCATTTAATAAAATGTTGAAAATATGTTAAAATAAATGACAGACATATGTAGAACATTTCATGAAAAACGACACGTTATGTCGAAAGTGGGAAAAATAACGACATAGTATATGTATGTCAAAAATATCATTAAAAAACATGATATATTATGTTGAGAATATGCTTAAAAACGATACAGTGTGTTGAATATATTGCATGTTTTTGACATCATTTTTCATGAAATTGTCCTTTTTTGGAAAATGTCGACATACCATGTTGTTTGTTTTAGTATATATTCAACATATTCAACTATGTCGTTATTTATGAAATGTTTTGACATACTATACTATGTTGTTTTTTATGAGATTTTGCCATTTTTGTCGGTTGTTTTTTTTATTTCGACACACTAGCATACTATTTTTTGTGTGCATATTTTCGACATACTATGACCTACTATACTAAAAATCGACATAATATACTATGTCCTTTTTGGCATATTTTTGACATACGTTGTATTTTATGTCATTTTCGAAATACTTAACTACGTCTTTTAACATATGTTCGACGTTCCTGTCGTTTTTTGGCAAATATTACGTCATACTGTCGTTCTTTTGCATATTTTCGACCTAAACTTTGTCTTTTTTTATGAAATGTTCAACATACTAAGTCGTTTTGTTGCATATCTTCGACATACAATACTACATACATACTATACTATGTCGCTTTTTGCACATTTTTGAAATATACTTTGTCTTTTTTTATGGGATTTTCAACATGTCCTATGTCCTTTTTGGCAATTTTTTTGGCAAATTGACGAGATACTATATCTATTTATTACATATTTTCGACATGCTATACTATTTCCTTTTTTGGAAAATGTTCAACATGCGATTGTTTTAACATATTTTCTACATACTATACTTTATCGTTTTTTATGAAAATGTACACATGATATACTGTGTCGTTTCTTTCAACATATTTTCAACTATGTTGTTTTTTGCATATTTTCGACACTACAATATGTCCTTTTTTGGCAAATTTACGAGATACTATGTCGCTTTTCAAAACATGTTTTCAACATACTATATATACTGTCGTTAGTATACAATGGTTCTTTGACATTTTCAGCATACTATGGCGTTTTTTTACAATATTTTCGATATACTATAATATGTTGTTTTTTCATGAAATCTTTTACATAGTATACTTTTTTTTAATGAGATTTTTGGCATCCTATACTATGGCATTTTTATGAAAGGGTTAGAAACGTCAAAAGGAAAATACTTCTGCTCTAGTTCCATTTCTGGTGAAAAGTGGCTCAGCGTAGATCATTAAATAAAATGTAGCACGACTGCAACCATAGATATTTCAAAATGAAAGCATTAAGATGTTGTGTTAGTGTGATCTTTGTTTATGTGCTGATCACAGGCTACTTTAGGAGATTATGGGTGGCCATTTTACAGCTCCTCTAGCTGTGATTAATGGTCATAATGTGCAGGGAATCTTTAAGGACACAGGTTAACAATAGCTTACAGTTTATACAAGGACAGATCGAGTGTGTGAAGGTATTATTAGGGAACTGAAGCATACAAATAAAGTACTTAGGTTTATAAAAGCCATCTTGAAGCAATTCCAGTGAATTACTGCCCTTTTCTTACTGTCAGCCATTTGCCAGCCAGAATCAATTCTTAGAATTCCTATTATTGTAAATTTATTTTTTGTCTCTAGTCCTTTGAGAATGTGAATTGTTCGTCTTTGTGGTCAGACTGACATGTAATGTAGCCACACCGGTTACAGAGCTGTAAAGGGATGAGGTTTAAAGATAAGGCAACGAGTTCAGACGGCTTATCTTTAAAAAGCCCTGATAGAAGGAGCAGGCTCTGGCACTGTACAGCACCCTGTTAATATTTAACAGATATATCTGAAGCATTGATGAGCACCTCTCAGAAAGGGATCTCAGGGAAGTAATGAGGGAACAAAGTCCATCAATTGTCGCCCGACAGACTAGAGTTTAAAAGCATGACATGATCAGTTAGTCAATTTATAAAATAAATACAGTATGTCAGCTGCATTTCCAGAAATACAATGTAATCATGCTGACTTTTTGTCAAGTTTGTTACTACTATGTTGTAATTTTAACAGTCATGATCAGCGTTCACCGTTTTTGCTTGGCCTTGTTGAAGACATTTCAATCATATTCATACCATTCAGAAGATAAAACAAAACAGATCCAATCAGATTTTATTTTTGGAAATACAAATGTTCCAGTTGTCTTTTAAAGGCCCGGACACACTAAGCCAATTTTGGCCGTTGATGGGCGTCAGGCCGACGATGAGCATCGACGCGCCCTACTGAGATTGGTGTGTCCCGCACCGTTGTGTCTTTTCAGCCGTGCCGACACCTTTTCGGCCGAAAACCCACCGATTCAACATGTCGAATCGGTGGGAAAAGGCTGCCGGAAAATGAAATCACTCTGATTGGCGTAGCAAAAAGAGTAAAAAATAAAGAACCACCCAAAATCTGGAACATCATGTACAAAGACAAGGTTTCTATGATAGATAACTCAGGAAACTTGCCTCCTGGAAAAGGGCTGAGTAACCTTTAGTAAAGACTTTAGCTTCGACGGAAGGCAATTACAGTGAAAACAAACTGGGAATGTCAGTTTTGTCCTCAGTTAGACACCCATACCCAGTCAACTGTTCCCAAAATACATACAGGGCAGACCCAGACACACAGGAAGTGTGTGTCCAACCAACTGGGAAGCCTCCAGGTGTGCAGCTGTATGAATTTCTGACCCCGGAGAGAAACAATAAACAACCCCAGCCTCCACACTCGCAGGAGCTTTCAAATGAAATAGGACTACTTTAGTACCAGTCACATGCTGCTGAGTGCATCACACCCTGTGGCTGCCCTGCAAAAGTGTGCACACTGTAAATACTCAAGACTGTTAATCAATAAACCAGGCCATTACCCTGGCTATGCCACTCTTGCTGGAGCAATATGTGGTGTCTGCAATCAAGATAGACTATATGTCTATATATCTGCTAATCATTTTAACTAGAGATAAAGGCAACTACAGGGCCTTGATCCTTTTGAACAGGTCAAAAGCTTTATCGTTTGTCAATCGCAGATAAGTGTCTATACATCCGGATAGATATGATAGAAAGAAAAATCCTTTTTTGTCTTTACATCCATGGATACATTGTAAACAGGAACTGCTAATAGCTAATTCTTTATACTTTTATTGGAGAAAAACTGTGAACAGATGTAGGATAAATATACTAGGCTCAAATTGTAACCAACAGCGCACATCATGACTCCATTATCCAAAAAGCCTATGAGATCTGTGGTTCCAAAATTGAAGCATTACTTTCCTCCATAATAAATAAGATCAAAATTACTATAGGGGAGAAAAAAATCCATTAATTTGAACATTTGTTCATGTTTTAAACTTTTTATCCTTATCTGATGACAGTTAGTGGGTTTATTTGTCACTCAATCAAATCTAAACAAACACACCGTTCTGATTCAGCAGAGTTTTAACCTGTTGAACCGGGCAGAAAAATGCATCATCTGCAGGAAACAGCGTCTGAGCCGGCTCGACATTAAGGACTGCCCGATGGCCCGGGGCCATCTAGTATTTAGCTCGGGCCATGAAGCCTCACCTGCTGGTTGCCCGATCGGGCAATCTATTATACCAGTATAATGCAGCTCGCAGATCCAGTAATGAGTGACCCGACAGTAAAACTAAACATATCTATAACTAGTTTAGGTAGTTTGAGAGGTAATTAAAATAGCTACGTGTGATATTCTAACCTGAAGTGTGTGTTTTGTTACGCTCACCGCTGCATGTGATCATGCAGAGCTGCGTGTCAACTTGTCAGCAGCAGCTGATCTCTCTCTCCCGGCAGATTAGACTTCATTCCCATTTATGTCCATATCGATCAGATCCAGCTAGTTCTAGCTAATGATAGGACTACCTGCTTATTAAAAGACACCTAAACAATAACCGTCGCTATGCGACTGGGTGAGGCCGCAAAGTATAGCGCAGCATTATGCATTTGTTTACATGCCCACCGGAACCCCGAGGCATTACCAACAGATCAACGCACAATCAACCCATACAGGACATCTCTTTCTGCACATTAAGTGTTAGACATTAGAATTGACTATTCTTGTCTGTCACATACTCTTCTTGTCTGTCACATAAGTGGCGCAACTGAAGCGGTATTGCGCTAAAGGGAAATTATTTTGACCGAAGAGATTTAGATTTGCCGGCTAATGGGAACTCTGACGTCGCCATTTTGTGAAATAAAGTATAAAATTCAAATTGTACAATATAATATTGTAGTGGTTCATCTTATAATTCAGTCTAGAGAATGCACCAGACAGCATCTTAGACCTGCAAAAATCTAAATTTTCTAGGGGGAGGCCCCCCAAACCCTCCGTGCGTCATTTCGTCCGCGCCATTTTTCAGGGCAATCTCTATTGGGCTCAGGGCCATCTGTAAATTAGCTTAGATGGCCCAAAGGGCCATCTCCCAAAATCC